TAACTGTTTTAATTTTAGTAAAAAAATAGTCACAAGTTGAGATTTTAAATCGTTTGGCAAACGATGACAAAGTAAGTTTTCAAGATTTTTCGCAATACCATTTAAAAGTATAGGTCTTAAGCTTTAATTTCTTTTTTTTATTTTTATTTTACGTTCTATATAAATAAAATTATACTTTATTTAAAAATGTGTCTTCGGGGGGCACGAGTGGACACCTATGGTAGAGTACGGTGGGCACGAGCAGTCGGAAAAATTGTCATATGTCGTCGGCTGTCAACCATTTAGTATGTAGTTATAGGTTAAGTTTCATTGTTATGACTATTAGTCATTTTGATAAGTAGAATTAGGTATTTGCGTATTAACGTATTTAGTTTAATGTAAATATGGTTCGAAAATACCAAAAAAAAGCCATATCGTTCTCGGAGTGATGGAGACGTGCAACTTGCAATACAGAGTATTAATAGTAGTAAGACTATTAAAAGTAGTGCAATTGAGTTTAATGTCCCTAGGAGTACATTGCAGAGAAAATTGCGTAAATCAACAAAAGAGTCTTGATGTTTTAAGTAAGTGATCTTTATTTGTCATAATAATCTGAGATAATATTGTTTCATGAAAAACTTAATTATTTATGTAAAATTTATTAGCACCAACAAGTTTTAAAACGACTTTTTCTATTGACCAAGAAAAATCTCTATGCAATTACATTTTGGATATGCAGAAAAGACTGATGAGACTTTCAGCTTATATGATGTGAGAAAGCTAGCGTTTGATTTTGCTACCCATTTTAGGCAGGCTCTCCGTGCTCACTGTGCCCTACCCCTTGCTCAGTCGTACCTGACATTGGGGTATAAGTGAGCTCTTATGGATGCATTCGTTTTTTATTTGATAAGAAAAATTAGGTTAAAATTGCAGTCCCTTACCAATAGTAAAGTACAACTAGGATTTTTATTAACAAAATGCCGTTTTTGCAGAAATATTATACTTAAATATATTTTCCGCCCTCGGGTGGTTTTGGGAGGCTGGTACTTCCTCGGGCAAAAAAGCAGTTTTCCGATACTCGCTCGAAAAGTCTCCTTTACGAACCTCGTTACGACCCTCGCCTTCGGCTCGGGCCGCAAACCTCTCGGTTCGCAAACAGGGACTTTTCAAACTCGTAGGAAAACTACCATTTCTTACCATGGGCCCAAAGTGCAACTGCCGCTTTAGGCCCTCGGGTCACACTTTGCGCCCTTGTAATCACTTTGGGCCCACGGGCAGAAAAGTTTTTTGCGCCCTCTGGGCCCAAAGTACTTTTCTGCCCTAGGGCCCAAAGTGATTTACTGGGCGCAAAGTGTGCCCACGGGAGCAAAATTGCACTTTGCGCCCTCGGTAAGAAAAACATTATACGCGACTCGGGCACCAACCTACAACAAGCGCGCCCTTCGGGCGCTCATGTTTGTACTTTGTGCCCTAGTGATGTAATGGTAGTTTTCCTACGAGTTTGAAAAGTCTCTGTGTGCGAACCGAGGCCCGAGCCGAAGGCGAGGGACGTAACGAGGTTCGTAAAGGAGACTTTTCGAACGAGTTCTGGAAAACTGCTTTTTCGCCCGAGGAAGTACCAGCCTCCTAAAACCACCCGAGGGCGGAAAAAAGGATTTGCCACATAAGTGCCATCGCTTCATGGCTACCTTACGTCCCTTGAGCTCTGCTTTGCAGGTCGCTCGTGCCGCAAAATAGCCCCGGAAACGATAGCACTTATCCGACGAAAACTACTAATTTCTTACCGTGGGTCCAATGGGTCACACTTTGCGCCCTTGGAATCACTGTGGGCCCACGGGCAGAAAAGTTTTTTGCGCCCTCCGGGCCTAATAGTAGTTTTCCTACGAGTTTGAAAAGTCTCTGTTTGCGAACCGAGAGGTTTGCGGCCCGAGCCGAAGGCGAGGGACGTAACGAGATTCGTAAAGGAGACTTTTTGAACGAGTTCCGGAAAACTGCTTTTTCGCCCGAGGAAGTACCAGCCTCCCAAAACCACCTGAGGGCGGAAAAGTACTTTTCTGCACAAAATTGCACTTTGTGTCCTGGGTAAGAAAAATATTATACGCAACTCGGGCACCAACATACAACAACCGCGCCCTTCGGACGCTTATGTTTGTACTTTGTGCCCTAGTAACGTTATGTACCATTAATAAATAATCTACATACAACAATTGGTAGATCATATCATACCAGTTCTCTCTTCTTTGGGAAATCAGGTGATTTTTCATGCCAAAATGTAAGTGTTTTTTCTCATTTGAACCTTTTTTTATCGTCCTTAGTCAATTTAAGACATTAAAATTTTTCTATTTAATTTACGCTTTATTTGTAATTTTCCTAAAAAGATTTCTAAGATAAAAAAAAATATTAATAAACAAATAGTAATAGTGAAAAATACATATAGAATTGAAAATCTTGGCATACGAGATTTTGGCATGAGAAATCACATCATCACATGAACCACCTGATTTCCGAAAGGAGGATTGTAATGTAATAAATTAAAGTGATCTCAGTGACAATCAAAACGGCGAAAGTACCGGCAGATTTTTACGATTTGAGGTTAAATCAAAATTTTTTTGTAGTGTTTAACATAGAAGAACATGAGATTTTGATCATTTAAGGGTATAAATAAGGGCACCGTTAGATTTGGCGTAATCTAAACTATTAATAACATATGTCTCATTTGATGATACTAGTACAAGGGAGTCTCTTCAGTGGACGCTTCCGACAAAATAACTAAGAAACAAGAGAGCCATTATATTATCTTAGTGTTTGCAGATAAAAAATTTTATTTACGGAATCCCCGCAAGTAAAAAAAAAAAAAAAAAAATTGAGGTCTCGTATCTTATGCATTCAATTATTTTTACTTGTTCTAATAATAGTTGCATGCTTCATAACATTTCTGACGATTGTTAAACTTTCTTTTCATTATGAATTGTAAGTAAAATTGTATTGTACAGAGTTATAATAAAACAAACTCAAAGAAACATACCTTTTGGAACGTCCGTCAAGAAAATCACATTGGAAGGTTCAGCTTTGATTTCGTCTAAGATTTTTTTATAACTTTGTGCCTCTTGTTTTTGTCCTACGCTGGTATCAAAGTGTCCACTGATGTACTGTATAATACGTTAATTGATACTGTAATATTGTGCAATTTAAATATTATACTGGAATAAATGTGTGTTTCTATATACCTTGAGCAAATCGCCGTGCTCTGTATTACCGTACAACAATTTCTGAGCTAGGACACTACCACTCGAGTAGATGTATAGTTTTTTGTCACTCGTTGTCCATTTTTCAAAAGCTTCTGGAACATCATCGTAAACGCTGAAAGAATATTGTTTATTTAAAACTTAATTTAGTAAAAACTATTGCAATTTGTAGTCAAGATAAATTTTATATAAAATGAAAATCAATGAATCTCGTTAAGCTCAATTCATCGTAATCATTGGTATGTACATCGTAATCACTTCAGTAAGCCTTATTTACTATTCTGAACTAAAATTGATTTTTTAATGTTTATGGTATTGAGATATCAAAATTGATCTAGTTTACAGATCTTAGAATCAAAGGTAGTGATATTTTAACCCAAAAAATTTTCTATTAAAATTCAAAGTTACTATTAATTTTTAAAAGGGTTATTAAAATATCAAGATGTGTTATAGTCTATGCTAGTTGCAGGTAAGCAGATTTACGAGACACTCATCTGCTAATGGATATGAATTAAATTGTTATACTTGTAAGGTAAACGTACTAGTAATACAGGATTAAAAATATTTAATGACTTTTTTTAAGTGTAGGTGGTTTGATAAAAAATTGATCTTATCGATTTGTCTTTTACTTTGAGAGTTATTTGTGGAGTATTACTTGCAGGACTCATCTTCAAAAGGTAAAACCTAATTTCTAACTTATCTATGATACTACTTTTGGTGTATTTTGTCTAACTGTTCTATAATATTAAGATACACGTAGAAGATACCATAGATTAGTAAGGCTGTAGCATTTTTATTCCATTCAATTTTTCCAGATACATCATAAGATTTTCGATTTTGTAAATCAACTGTCTTATCTCTTACCTTCAGACAAGATAATGAATACAGGGGTGAACGTAGAATTATACGTAGGGCAATAAACTTTAAATATCAGTGGTGATAAAGTACCCTTGAGATAATTTACACGTCAGGACACTTTAAAACGTGATGCGTCAAGTTAAAGAAAATCTTTATAATATAGGTTACAGAAAAGGTTATCCGTTACCTATGATATATATGTTTGCTGTCACTCGACACTTCACGTATTTGATCACCATAATAATGCACCAAAGATGACAACAGTTTAAAATTTCTGGCAAAATTATAATTGAAAAAAACATATATTACTCTAGAAACTACCAAAAGTACCTATGAATTAATTTAATGTTTATTTTTAAACATTGAAAAGAGAAATTATTGTTAAAATGCGAAATTTTTAATACGTGCTCTAATGGAAAAACCAAGTCTCTATAATTTCAATGTACATTTATTACTTTTTACGAAGTTATTGAGAAGAAAAATAACTTTCCTAAAGATAGTTGACTATCAAAGGACAACATTGATATGAACTATATTCTCCTTAAGTCATTTAGAAGGCGTATCAACGCAAATATGAACTAAGTTTCGAGATAATTTCGTGCTAAATATACAAGAGGCATGTTAGTATTGTCTGCTGCCAGCTCGTCTTTGTGCATAGTATTAGCTTTTTTTTTTTTACAAAATCGCTTCTAGAACCTGTTAAACCAAAAATCATGATCTTTAACTTGACACTGTCTTTTTTAAAATCTCGAACTTTAATGTTGTGCTGTGAAAATGTTGATATTTGAAAGTTTATAAAAATATTTTAATCGACAAAAGTTTTAATTTTTCGTGCTTTTAATGAGTTTCTTTTTATTACGCAAACATGTTAACCAGTTTTATGACTTAGACTATCAGAAAGTAGCTGTTTGAATATATAAGTACTATGGTCATTTCATAACGCTTCAAAATAAAATACTGCGGCTATTTGAGAACAATTGAATTTTCCGGGATAGACTATAGTCTGAGATTTTAAATTAAGGCATCATTTTTTCCTTATACGATGTCGTAGCAAAGCACGTTTTACATAAGTAGGAAAAACATTTTTTCAACAACTTACTGTCCCTTTATAGTTTTGTAGGCTGCCTGCCACATATGCCCCTGCAAATCTTTCAATGCACCAGCCTTGCGATCATTATCCATTTGCCACAGAACATTTTTTACGAGACTTTCTTTAGCTTCTTCAGTAGAGTCTTCTTTTATCGGTACAAAACCTTCAATTTTCTTTTCTTCATCTTCTTTAGCCTGAAATAAATCATTTGATTAAATACTACAAGTTTCAAAGTCACAAGAAACGTATTTTCTTAAAATACAGTTGGCTGAGTGAAAGATAAAGATTTATTGATAAGTGATAAATGATTGTTTGTTTTACTTGAAAAAAAAAAATGTCAATCATAAGATAAATCTGTATATTTGTTATAGTTGGTATTCAATAATGTGTTTTGTTAATTTATTATATTAAAAAAATATATAAATAGTTGCCACAGATATAACTTTTGCAGGAAATAAATAATAATTATGACTTCATGAGATTATTCCAAGGTTAACTTGGTGCTCAGATTAAAAATGTGTTGATTACAGATTTATGTTAACAACAATAAAAAATGTACTGAAAACCATCAGAATATGTCTGTAGCAGTAAGTTTGGAAATTTTTTAAAATTGTAAGTTTTATGAAACAATTTTTTAAGTACTTGAAAAAAGCGCAATTCTTTCAATTTCGTTAATTTATACACACCTAATTATTATGTTTAAATTCAATTCCGCCATTAACGCAATAACAAATACTATCAATAGTTTAACTTTTCCACCCTTCCCTTCTATGATCTGAAAAGTTTTCATTTTACAATTCCATAAACAGATTGTTCCTTGTAAACACTTTTCGAGTGTATGCTTTTTTATGAAAGTGTTCCATTTACTCTCAGTTAAGATTTAAACCGTCATGACTTTTGGTAGTTTCAAGCGTCTACTACATATAATAATGAGTATCACATACTTAGCATATTTCATTAGCAGATTGATCAAGTGTACGTGGTTGGTCAAACACAAACTGAATCCTTAAGATAAGACTTAGTTAGCAAAATACTCTTATATAAACCTAAGTGTGACCATGAATTTGAGTGGCTATCGATTCAAGATGCAATAAAAAATTCTTACATCAAGTTTTTGATTCTACAGTTTTATGAAAATTTCCAAAATAATTGTTTCATTGAATTTTAGCAACCAAATCTCCTAATCTTATAGCGTGAATCGATTCAATTTTACAAGCACGAGCATTACACATAGTTTACGTAAGGCTTGCGTAAAAAACTGAATGACATATCTCTTGTAATGTTGGCATTGGAAAAAAAATGTCTGTTTTGGGTTCAAACTTTTAAGTATCTTAAGAATTCAATAAAATTGCAAGTTTGAATACAAATCCATCAAAATTGGTATTACAACAACTTAAAAACCGTTCAAGGGCACTGTTTGCGGTTAAAAGTTCTTATACTGCAACCTTGGTAGCATCTTGCTTCAGCAAACATGAAACACGGAAAGAAAGTAACGTTCGGAGTTGATAACTTGATGTTCCCAACTTCGAAATCAATATTTGTTGCAGTCTCTGAGTAATACATCATACACAAATCACTTCATTTGATTACTTAAAAGGTAAATCTTTATACGTGCCTCAGAAATATCGATAAGTAAACGTTCAATTTGTGCTCTAAAGCTAAAAACTGAATATTAGGTTACCCATTCTAAATAGAGATGCTTAAAATGTCACTATTTCTGTGCTTGGTTTTTGCTGAAGCCAGGTACTGCCAAAGTTTTCGTACAAGACTTCTAAATTATGGCAGTGCATGTTCTTAATTTTAATGCTGAAGTTTGATAGAGGGCTTTCATACAAGCGATTGAGTTTAAGTTTAACCGTATCTTGAACAATATCACGCATTTTAAAGACCTCAATCAGATCCCAACTGTGTTTTTTATTTTGACCTTTTACTGGGCTATTTTCAAGTTCATAGAGCTCAATATTTATTGTTGATAATGCAGCACAAAAGCTCAAAATATAGTAGACCCAATATTTTTAATGTGCTGTAAATCCGTAGAAGTAGAAACATATACTTGCATTCGTAGTTACGCAAGTCTATATATTATCCCAGAATATACGCATTATTCAAGCTGAAGGCAACAGAAAATAACATGTAAGACTAGAGCTTTCGAAAGAAGCTCCTCTAAGTATACTATTTTTATGCTTACATAGATTAGCATTAAATCTTTTAACTTGTACCAGAAGTAAAAATAACAATAGAAGTCGAAATTCACAAAAAAATCAGGTTTCTGCAGTATTTTTTACATATTTTTTTTTATATAGGCTTATGTGTGGTAAAAAATCTATTGTAACAGACTTTTCTTATGGTAGTATTTTTAAAAATCATTATCAGATATTTTTTAATATTTTAGGTATTTTTAGCTAAATAAAATGTAAAGGTACAGCTTCTACATCCCAGTGATTTTTGCTGCTCGTCTAGAGGTAGAAATATATTTTCTTGCTAAAAGAGAAAATAGAACTTCCGCATGTACGTGTTAGACGTCCAAGGCGAAACTAAATGACATTGTGAAGATAAGAGAAAACAGCAGGTGAGTGAAATAGTATATTTGTACGTAAACATACTTCCAATGCGTTATGTGCTCTACGTTTCAACTACCCTTGCCAAGCTTCAAAACTATTTACTTTTCGCTTTTTTTTTTTTTTTTTTTTTTTTTTTTTTCCAATAAAATTACAATACCAAGCAAGCTCGCAGTTAATGAAAAAATTAATATTAATCTTGTAGCGACTTATGCGAAATCATAAATTCTTATTTTCATCCTTAAAAATTGTTTTTAAAAGTAGAATATCCCACGTATAAAAACTATCAAGTTCTAATAAATACTGAAGCTTATTATTGGCTGTTGTTTTGATGATTATGTAGTAAAGTAGGCCAATTGATGAATATATTGAATATGAAGTTTTGTATTATACCTGCTCTTTCAGCTTAACAAAGTCAGCTTTGAATTCTTCCGTTTCCCACTTCTCATCGACATGTTTCTTCAAAAATTCGCGTACGTATGGGAAAAGCGTATCCTGTAAAACAAAAACAAAAAGTTAGTCTTAACATGTTTATATATAATATCCAATTCGAACTACGATAGATTTTGGGAGCGTAATTGAGTTTCTAATGCTGATTTAAGGAGGTTCATTGCGACTACTTTTGTAGTTATTTACAGATGGTTTTATACTCCATAATCTTAAAGCAAATACAATTTTTGTCTTCTCATCTCTTTTGAAAGGGCAAACAAGTAAAATATCATTGTCACAGTGTGAACTTATTTCGTTTTAAATTTCATTACAATTTGAACAGTTGTACGCAGGCTTGTGTTATTTGATGGTGTATGTGTGTGTGTGACCGTATGTATACTAATCTAGCTCAACTAACTGCTTAAACACAGCTGTATTGATAGTGCGAAGACAAACAAGTTGTTTGTATTATTTGTAGTAATAATAAATAAATACGAACTGCAGATACAAGTGAATAATATTATACTGAAATCTGAAATGATACTTTCAACACATTTACGAGAAAGATTTAAAAGAAGCATGTGTAATAATATGCAGAATTAAAAATGAAATTTTTGAATCGAATTTCTGTAACGAAATACAATAAAAAAAATAATACTGAAACCGTAAAAATCGTCCTGTTCTTTAATTTTTAGACACAACCAATGTATGAAAGTACCTTATAATTTTGTCAGAGCAAAACGTGTAACCACTTATAAACTATCTATTTTTAGTACAAAACAAATTTTTAACCAAATATAATGGTGATCAGAGTTGGTCATATAGTATATGTGTGGAAGTGTGTATGTACGTTATCAAAATTTTCGACTAACTCAAGTAATTCTTATCCAAATGAGCTCAAATTTTGTAGGTAACTTCAAGTTCAATGTCAAAGCTGATGTATTGCATTAGATCAGTTTTCATCGAAAAGAAGCATTTTGACAGCATTTTTACTAGGTTTTTTAGCTCTATGTTTTGACACATACATTTTACACGTTTGTGTTTAACGACAAAGTTGTAGATTACAGTAAGACACAACTTTTTTTTACCACATATTTTACTCTGTCATACAATGTGGATACTCTGTAATGCAAAGTAGGTATGAAAACAGCGAAAAGAATCATCGAAAAGATCTTATAAAAATACACTTTTGTTGTATTTATCATTTTTATTGTTGTCCTTACACTTTAAATAAAGAAATCGTATTGTAGCATTCAAAAAATTATTTCATAGCATATTAGTTATTAACGTGTCATTTACTGACCAAATTTTTAATAAAAACTTTAGATCTTATTAAAATAGACTTATTTGTGTTTGACATTCATGTCTTCAGTGTTATCCTAACACAAGATACAACAAAAAGCATTTTGAAATGGTGGACGAATTGATTTGTAATATGTCATATTATTTTATTATTCAACATTTGGTAAAAAAAAATATGATCTCCAACTAAAATCCTACAGTTAAAATTGTACTTTCTGCTCTGGCAAACCGTGAATTAGTAGTGCCTTAAATGCAAGACCTCAAGTTTTGCACAAACTAAGCCGCTTGTTACGAGTATATTTGTCTTGTTAAATAGGATACCAAAAAAACAAAACGTAAGAGTTTCATAGTTTTTTAATTTTTTTACAATTTTACAATTTTTTCAGATACACTATTATACACAGATACACTACTATCAAGAAGAGGTTTATACTTCATATCCTTGACTAACTTGGCTCACTTCCGTTGAAACAAGAAAGCATAAAATGTATTGCTGTTTTATTCCAGAATAATTTGGATAAATATAAAGTAACGATTGTACATAACGAATTTGCTAAAAACTATGTCAAAAACGACTCAAGAGAGAAAAATAACAACAGATACTCAATCCAGCTCTTTCTCCCTTTCACTATTTTTATCTCTCTCATCCTCTCTCTTTCTCTGTCTCTTGGGCCGCATAGAAACAAGAGTCCCCTTATTTCTTCGCTTTTCGTTCGTTGTTCTTCTTCTCTTTCTTTGAGTACTAGTTTCGCTATCCTTGGGGTACAACAAACGGTGGCCTCAGCTTTATGCACACCTTTTCCACACACGACAGAAGTTTCTGTATGTATACAATGTGTTAAGCCGGGCACTATCTACTACTTAAAGGTAAAGCACGAAAAAGCATGTGCCAATCGTGCCTTCCCCATGGTGTGTAGAATCTTGTCAGTAGCAGCAGCCCATGGGGGAGAGAAAGCTAAATAATCGATCGGTGGGCTACTGGCGCTTTTCTCTCTCATCGCATGTACAGTGCTCACAGAAAATGGAGCATTAAATCTCACGAGTGCGAGAAAGAAGAGCATAAGGTCGTGCTTTGTCTGTCATGTTGAAAGAGGGAATAAACACAATTGAAAGGGGGGTTTCAGAAGATGGAGGGAAGTTGGAGATGCAAGCCAATTGAAATTCGTCTAAAGGTATCCGAAACTAGATTCATGCTAGAGCACACACATACAAAATGATGTGTGAACTCCACGCGAGAAGCAGAGAGGGAGATAATTCTCCTGCATCTCTTGCAGGCCCTTTTTCAAGTCCGTGAGGGAACCGTTAACAGAAATGGCTCCTCCTTTCACGAAAATCTGCAACGGCTGCTACGTGCATGTTAACGCGTCTTCCTTGTATTACATGGCTGCTGTGTGTCTGCCTTTCCGAAATATCACATTCACCTCGTGTTTAAAGAAGGTGAAGCTTTTTGGGGCCAATTTAAAGCTCTTCATCTGACTTTTTTATCAAAAGTTTAACATTGAAGTGAAGGGAGAAGAAAAATAATTGGAGCAATTTATTGCGAACCGGAAGTGGAGAATTAGGAGCGCAAACCGAGAGGACGAAGACGAGTTCAACGGTCTCTGCGCCGGCAACAGTGCGCCGTTGGCGACGACTGCCGGCATTTTCGTTCGGAGAAGGAAGCCAGGGATGCCGATGAAAAAGCCGGTGATCCTGGGAAACTAATGTACGTCAAAAATCCCTTTTCTTTAATGGTAAGGCTCGTTCAAGCCCCTTTTGGTTCGGTTCGGTTCTCTTAATAAAATATACCTATATATAGGGAACCAAACAGAACTGGTTCTGTATATATAGGTATATTTTGTTAAGAGAACCGACCGGAACCAAAAAGGGCTTGAACAAATCTGTAGAAAATTGCCGTTTGAGAACAAAATTTTTTCGTACTACCAGAATAATTGCGAAAAATTTAAGAGCAAGCGAACAAGACCGGCTTCCTCTCTGAAATACGGCGTTGTGAAAGAGCAAGAAAGAGAAAAAGAAGGATGTAGCAAAACCGGCGGCGCCATGCATGCAGAGCAGCTCAGCAACCTTTCGCTGCTGCTGCTTATGCTCTCTTTTGTGCTTATCTCTGCGATAGCAAGGGGAGGGGCCCCGCCATGTTTCCACAAAGTTGTTAACGGAATATGTAAGCTTTCGAATATTCTTAACTAAATCTTATTATCTAAATCATTTCATAAAAAAAAAAAAAAAAATTAACTCACCTTGACGAAGCTGATGCTAGTGGTGGTACCCTCAATGTCGAGAAGAATCACCGACTCCTGGCACACAAGTTCACCAGACTCGCTGGCACTACGCTTCTCTCCGGCCATGATTTTGATTCTCCTGAATTATTCTGGGTTGCGGGTGTCTTATGAGTAATCAAACTTCTTCACAGCTACAACCGTTACTTTCTGGTATTGAACTTTTTCTCGTGCCGGTAACTTGTGTTCTTGAATTCCACGAACTCGAAAAATTCAAACTTGGAATGTATATGTAACCGCAAAACCAGAAGGTCGAGCACTAGATCACAAGACGACGGCTTGAGGACGAAAAAAGAGAAGAAAAGGAAAGAGACGAAGAGGACGTCGAGACGAGACACACGAGGAGACAGTCACACGCGCGCACACACTTGCCGCTCCGTTCTGGCTACTCTCTCCGGCTGCCACTTCGTTCTCTGCCCTGTGCTCCCCCGGTCACCGGTTGAAACTCTAGCTATCTCTCACTCGCTCGCTCTCTCTTTCTCAGCACAAGCTTGCAGATGCAGTGCAGACAGACCGGCCTCGTGCAGCCTATCACCGTCTCGCTCTGACTGTTCTTTTTCCGAGTATTCGTAGCGAGTGACGACGCGCGCAACGCCGGTTCCGACTAAACACACATGCTTGTACCTTTAAATATATACACGTTCGAACTTGCACATAATCTGCAAGAGTGAATCGGCGTGAGTATAATATGTAGACATTACTATAGCTATTAAAGGAAAGAGAGAAAAAAAGTTCTCCGACCCCTTCTGAGTTCTGATGAGAGACGTGTACTATATATTTTGTCGTCTGGCCTTCGCCTGCAAGAACAAATGTCGGCTACCTATATGTACACATATCAAGGATAAAGCCGGGTTGGGCATGCATATATATACGTTCATATGTATACAAACTTACATGTGAACGTATATGCATCTGCATGTTCTCTTAGTTTGGTCCAGACGTCTCCACGATATATTTATGTAGCTATAGAATTGCTTTGAGAGAAAGATTGTAGGAGCAAGGTAGGTATTACAGAAAAATAGTATTCGATCTCTGGATATATGAACCAATATTTTTTATTACGATAGAGTAGTTTATAACACTCCAAAAATCGAAATGCATTTACGGGAACATCAATCTATTCTCTTCTTATATATATATATATA